TCGTTACAATAACCTCCTTACTAACCTCCTTACTTCATAGATATTTTAGAAGTTTCTAGAGTTCTCTACAATCTTATAGATTATTACCTTACTATCTTACAACTCTCTAGAAACACTTAAGGAGGTGCTACCCTTCTAGATAATTTAAGGAGGTGCTAATCTTCTAGAATCTCAAAGGAGGTGATGAGATTATATGATGTTTCTAGAGACTTCTACACCCTTCATTAAGCTAAACCAAAATCAAGTTTAATCTTAATAGATTCGTTGCATACAGTGTGGCGTATTGGCAGAAGTTAAGACAGCGAGAAAAGGTTCTTGATATTATCAACCTCTTTTTGAATCAATGAAGAATATATTAATTACCTTTAGATTTTGTTACTTAAAAGTCAACTCTATGTGTTTTTTTTTTACTTAAAAGTCAACTCTATGTGCTTTGACAAAAAAAAAATATATGAGATTTGCTGCTTTTGGGGTGAATTGTGAAGTTATATGATCTCCAATGACTTAAGTTTACAATATTTGTTTCAAGGAAATTAAGCATTTGAAATTCAGACAACTATGCTTGCAAATGGAACCAATGAAGCTGATGAATACAAAGAAGAATGTTGATAAGTTAGGATTTCGACGGGTAGTGTGTAAAGGCATTTTCGACAAGAAAATATCGATCTATGTTGGTCCAAAGCCTAGAAGATCCATGGAAAATTACTATGAGAAGGGCTTCTATGTCATTACACCTCTCTTGCCAATCCTTAATGAACCAAATAGGTGATTGTTTTTTCTTTACTTCATGTGCAAACCAAATTAATTCATCTTTATGATCTTGATATCATCTTGATGCAAGTCGAATATAATATCTGTGTTGCTTGTGTATTAAGGTGCTATTGGTTTTTGTATTTGGATACAACTATTTACAGATATTCGTTTTCATGTTTGGATTTTGATACTAAATGCATCTATTTTTTTCTAGTAAATTCCTAATATTGCATCAAAATGTAATATCCATACGCGAAAAATAGTTTTACAAGCAAACATCTAAGTGCATGATGAATTAAGATGATGTGTCTAGATGCAATATTTCAGTATAGAAAATAACTAATTATTGGTTCTTCTCTTCTTCTTTTTTTGTCACTAGCGTGAAGTCCCCTATTCTAGTAAATCGCAGATGGGTTCCTTCGGATTGGAAAGAAGAGTCTCAAGAATCTACAGAAATTGATATTGTTGCTATAACAAATAGGCTTAGAAAAGCTGATAAACTACTCTCCTCTCAGCAAAATTTCTTGTCGAAGTTCTTGTATAAATTAAACAAGCAAGTGGTTACAAAGGTTGGTTGGTCTTCATTGCATAAAACCCTTAAAAGGTACTCAATTAAACTATCAAATGTTTACAGGTAAATTCTTGTGGTAATATCTTGGCAGGATCAAGAAGTCTCTAGCGTTATGCATGAGGAAGTAGTGGTTGGTATGGTTAGGAAAAGTGAAGTTCCAGGCATATTTGTTCTACCAAATGATCCAAGTTCGGGGAAATGATATTATTCGTTGACGTTCCTGCATTGGCTCAAGCCATGGGATTTGGTGAGGACACGATCTATATAGAGAAGACCAACAAAGATATGAATGAAAATAGACCTTATCCAGTTCCAAGAAACAATGAAGATTTGAACGTAGTGAAGATGCACCAATGGATAATTACTTTTACTCAATGCTATGGTAATTGACAACATAACTTTGACTTTTGATTATTGGTCATTTTTTAAATGATGGTGTTGATTTGTGTGATTGCTTTGACTGAACCAGGTACTTGCTCTGCGTGACTTGTTTTTCCAAATCAAGAACAAGTTTCATGCGAAAATAGCAGAACCATTTATTGCCATTAATTAGTATGAATATCCTAGTTTGTGTTGTTATGAATGAAGAATCGTTTTTCCAAATGAGATTGCTTCTTGTATCGAAAAAATAGACATAGAGAAAGAGACGTAATTGTTGGGGTCGGATTTCACCCGCTCAACGTCAACATTCAAATCTTGACCGAACCAAGACTCTTGACGCCTAAGATAATACGGCCCCTAAGTCATCTCGCAGGATATCGCAAGTGGTCGCCTTGGGTCGCTTGGATCTGCCAACGACCATCTCCGAAGACCCGACATAGAATGGCACCGATGGTCTCCCGATAAACGCCTACGACGATGCTGACATCGGGTTACTATTCACTTCGGGTTACTATTCACTTCGGATCACTGTTCACTTCGGGTTACTGTTCACTTCGGGTTACTGTTCACCTCGGGTTACTATTCACCTCGGGTTACTATTCACTTCGGGTTACCGTTCATCTCGGGTCACGTCTCCGGAGCGAGCAACGAAGTCACCCAAGATCCGATGACATTGGACCCGAAGGTTGCAGACCCAATGACCGATGTCTACGGCGGTACGAAGAGGACTCGAGTCGATGACTTCTCAACACCCACGAAATGGCGGTGACAATCAACTGGGTTNGGCTTCACTTCCGGACCAGTTAAGACAGCAAGCCCAGTCCAGTCGCGAAGCCCACTTCGGCGAAACCGACATAGGCGAAGAGAGAATCCAAGATGACTTAGGAAAACTTAGCCGACTTAGGAACGTTATATATAGTTGATGTAAAAACCCTTGAAAAGGTATCCGCAACTTGGTTCACAAAAGCATACACAGCAATAACAAGCGTTTCTCTTTGCTCATCATCTCTCTCGTAGCTTAACTAATAAATCTCTGCTTTCTTTCGAAACCCTTACAAATCTAATTGTGCTAGTCTTGACTCCCACAAGTTGGCGCCGTCTAAGGGGAACAAGAGACTTTCTCACACAAAAAAGCTACGTTACGCACCAGATCTGCGAAGATGAGCGGCGAAGAAAACCAATCGAGCAGCAGCGGCAAGGAGTCCTCGTCTCACAGAGCCATCCACGAGGAGGAGAACTCCGTCCAAACCCCTGCTACGAACAACGCTGCTAACCCTGGCGACATGACCGAGGTCAAGCAGATGCTGCAAACGCTCTTCAAGGAGTCCAACGAGCAAAAGAAGTTTAACGAGGCAACCGCGAACGAACTGAAAGCTCTTTCACGACGGAAGCGCGAGAGACCCAACGTCGCAGGACCCAGGGGTCGCTTTGACCCACATCGTCTCAACTTCTCAACGCCTCGTGCTGCTCAACAAGAAACAAGCGACTTACCGCCGCCACCTCCGCGGTGGGAGTCCGACAGACCTCCCGAGCACTTCGAAGGGGTCTCCGACGAAGATCAACCTCCTCCTCGTCGACGCGCACGAACGGAGGATGTCAGAGGTAACCCAAGGGGAACGCGTGCCCCAGACGGACGAAGCGTGTCATCGTCCTCCCAGACGGAAGCGCTGCAAGATGCTTCGGAGTACGATGATTACTCCGGCGTCGACGAACGCGGACCCTCCGTAGCAGAGCGCTACAAACGGGAGCAGGAGCGAAGGGCACTAAGGAGGTCTCGGGATGCAGACATCGCCGAGATACGGGCTCAGATGCAGCGAGTTGTCTTCGACCTGAAGACAACACAATCACAGGTACACCATGCCTCCGGGAAGGCGCCTGCAATCGTTCGCGTGCTGGAGAAAACAAGGAACACACCCTTCGCCGAACGGATCGCGAGGACTAAAATCTTCGATCCAGGAAGAGTCAAGTTACCAATCTATGAAGGAACCACAAACCCTTCAGATCATCTGATGGAATTCGAAGTAGCTCTAGGAAGAGCGAATTTCAGAGAAGC